TTCCCATCCCAGTGCCTGTCTGGCAGACCCCAAGAAGAGCCCAGCACCTCCCTGATCTAGCCTGTACCTGCAGAGATGGAGTTGAAGCCCAAGGCGAAGGGTGGTGTGTCCCCCAGCTGCACGGACACGTTGACGTTGGACAGCGAGGCACACAGGATGATGGGCGCCAGGATCTGGGGATAGCTCCTGCATGGGACAAGCAGGGATGGGCTGTTAGTGGGAGCTGTGTGCCACACAGCCTGGCAGGGAGCAGGACCGGAGGGATGTCCTCTGATCACCTCCTGACCAGCCTCCCCATCCCACAGGCGGTGCACAGGTAAGGTGCTGAGTGCCCAGGCACCCTGCCAGAGTGTGGCCAGCAAGAGGAAACAAGCTGTGATATCAGCAGCTGCACTGAGGCCAAGTTTACCTTCCCTTGTGCCCTTGGCTGCGGACAGGTATTGCCTGGCACCTGTATTCCTGTGCCAAGAGGCCCAGCCAGTGCGAAAACTCCTGGTGACGGTAGTGGATGATGCAGGTGTTGAGCAGTACAGCAGCCGAGAGGTCAATGGCTGTGACCTAGAGCAGGGAAAGGGCCAGGTGGCAAAAAACTCATGCCAGGAGCCAAACCAGCCACCCCCGGGGGACAGAGTGTGCCCAGCACTCACTCACCTGCACACTGGTCTTCAGGGAGTTGAGGCACACGATGCGCTGGCGGCTCTGGGACAGGAGAAGGCCATCTGGGGGGACAGAGGAGCACAAATGAGGGGTGGCAGAGGGCAGTGATGGCAGCCCTGTCCCATGGGTGCCCCCCTGGCTACTTGCCCTCCAGCTGGAGGTCTACACTCATTTGGTCCAGGTCTGACGTGGGCGTGAAGTTGCGCAATGGGATTTGCTCCTCTTCACGCTGATATAGAAACTGCAGCAGCTTCAGGCTCCAGGTGAGATGCCTGGAAGACACAGAGTCATTGCCAGGAGGGAACTGCACTGTCATGTGCTCCATCTCCCTGTCTCTCATCACCAGCTGACCAGCATGCTGGCGTGGACAAACACAGCAGCCAGTGCCCAGCTGCACCACAGCCCAGCGCTCTCATCACATCGCCTGAGGATCCCAACAGCTGTTCTACTGGAGAACCAGCTCATGTGCCTTCCTCCCTCCCAAAGAGCCCAGTCCCAGGCCAAGCTCAGTCCTTCCCACTGGAGTGGGCTCTAGGACTCGCTCTCTGCAGTCTAGCAGAGCTAAGGGACAAGAAGGAAATAACACAGTTGTCCCCAGGTCCATGTCCCCAGCATTACTTTGGACTCGGACAGCCTGCTCTCACCTCTTCTGGCTGTTCATGGACAGCACCATGCTGGTGTTCTCCAGCTTCACCTCCACCCTCCTGGGGATGAGCTTCAGTGTGTCCAGGCTCAGCACAGACAAGGACTTTGAGGGCTCACCTGGGCCTGGAGAAGGACAGAGAGTCACGGGAAGGACTTGCCCAAACCCTCACACTCTGGAGTGGGAGTGAGTGATCCCACAGCCAAATCCCTCTGGCTCCAGTGCAACTATGGGGGCCACCAGCCCCTACCCTGCTCAGAGCTTGTCCCTGTCCTTGTCCTGACCTGTGCTGGGCTCTTCCCTCAGGCTGCTGTGCTGGGCCCCAGCAGTGAAGTGGTGCAGGAGGGGGCTGCAGAAAAGCCCCTCGTGCAGCTCTGCCTGCAGCGTGCGGATGCAGAGCCGGACGCCCACCAGCCGCCGCTCGCTGCTGATCTCCAGGGAGAGGGAGAGTGCCAGGGCCAGCTCTGCCAGGCACGTGTCATCCTGTGCACAGGGGACACAGCAAGAAGCACACAGGGAGTCCCACAGTGCCCTCCCAGTGCATGCCGCAGGTGGGGAGCTGGGCACAGCAGAAAGCCCAGCACCTGGCAGCATCACCCAGCCTCAGGGACACCCTGGAACAGGTCATCAGCGTGTCCCAGGGAGCCAGAGCCCAGGTCCCAAGTGTGGAATTTCTCCCTCCTCCAGCACTCACCAGCTGGCTGCTCCGGAGGACTTTGCTGTTCACCTTTGTCAGGCTCACCTCGCACGTCAGGCTGGGGAGAGCAGAGAACTGAAGGAAGATGTGGGTCTTGCTGCTGCCAAAACAAGTCCTTGCCCTCTTTCCTGTGGGACACAGGGACCCCAAGTCCCTGCTCCAACTGCTCCCAAAAGCAGAGCATGCCCTAACTCCATGCACATTATTTGGAGAACACAAAACTCAAGCTTCCTGTGACAGGAAAAGGAACCAGGCCAGCCTCAGAGGAGGTTAATGCATCACACCACAGGTGACATGGGATGCTGCTGAGTGGGACAGAGAGAGGAGAGGCACAAGGCTGGGGTCAGAGAAGCTTCCCTGCCCTGGATGCAGAGTGGGTTACAAGCAGAGCATTACCTCTTCCCATTGCCATTCAGGAGGAGACGTGTCTGGCTGGCCTGGATGTGCCAGAGAGACTCTGAGGTGGCCACGTGCAGAACCATGATGTTGATGGAATCCATGTGGATGGAAAAGAGCTGGGGGGAAGGTGCTGCTGTGAGGAATATCCAACCGCAGCGCAGCCCACAGCAGCCTCTCACCAAGCTAGTGCCTCACCTGGCTAAGGAGCCTCAGCAAGGAGGGTTTCAGGGTCAGGTCTGCCCTGCTTTCATTTCCATCAGCTTCTCTGGGAGCCTCCGGAACAGATGGCTGCAACCCAGGGCCCTTCTGGAGATCTGTGCGGATTCGCACCTCGCCAAAACACAGCTCGAAGTAGCGCCTGGGGAACAACAGCACAGGCAGCTCTGACAACAGCTTGCACTTGGCACACCTGGCTCTGTCACTGGGGATTTCCCCTACCCCAGGGATGTGCAGGACCAGCGTAAGGGCACCCACAAGACACCGCCACCTCCAAGCGTGGGTCACGCCCTCACAGAGCTGACCACAGGGGAATAAGGATGGCAGAAAGATGTAAAGGCAGCAGGATGGCAAGCAGGGTAAGAGGTCAGCCAGACCCTCAAAGGGAGTCAGCAGGGAGCTGGGGTGGGGGCACGTACGGCAGCTCCCGGCTCAGTTTGCTGGAGATCCAGATGTTGTCGATCTCCTGTAAGGACACACAGGTAGATCAGAGAAGAAACAACTTGGCTCTGCCTTGTGATGCTCATCTCAACATTCCCACTCCGCTTCCAGTGCCTGGGATCATGCAAGGAGCAGCCAAAACCAAGTCTGGCCGTGGCAGGAAGGGCCTGGCACCAGCCATGGGAGTGCTCAACAGGACAGTGGCTCCACAGACTTGCTGCCAGCCTAGAAGTGACAGCAACCACCCTCTCTGCCTTGTCTGCCAGCAAACACCCCTCGCCCAGGTACCCACCACAGTCTGCTGCTCCCGCTGGAACTTGAGGCTGATGTTCTGGGCCCAGAAGAACCCAAAGGAGCCTATCTTCAGCTCTGCATGAAGCTTCTGCTGGCACCAGTTGACAGCCAGGCGACATGCCAGCCATCTGTGGGGACAGGGGGAAGGCTAAGGTCAGCCTACCTGCTGGGGTTGGGGTCTAGGGAAGCTCTTCATCCTTCAAGCACCAGCTCCAGCACCTACAGCTGGATAGGAGCTCCCAGGGCCTCACAGTGGGGAAAAGACCCTTCAGAACCACCCCCAAAAATCCCTGATGCCACCCTCCCAAGTCTTGAGGACTCTACACCCCCCTGACACCCCATGCCCACCTCTATGGGCTCTTCTGAACTTTTCTAAGCCTCCAAGCCTCTGACATCTAGCTCTACATCCCCCAGTCCCCTGCAGGCTCTTCCACACCTCTCTCCCAGCCCTATGAGCCCCACAAATTCCTGACACCCCCTCCACCCCTCTTTGTCCCCATGACCCTCTGCTTCCCTCCTCCCAGACCCCCAGCACCTCACCCTCAGCCCCGCGGGGCCCCTACACCCCTGACACCCCCCCAGACAGCCTCACCAGCGCCCCAAAACCCCCGCGGGCCCCCAAAACACCCGCACTCCCCACAGCCAGCCCCTCGGGCCTCCCCTTGACCCTGGCGCGCTCCTCCCGCCCCAGCAGAGCCGCACCCGCCGCGCTGCCCCCCCCCAACCCGCCGGCGCCCCACTGCCCCCTCCCCACCCCCGTCACACCCCCCGAGCCCCCCGAGGAGTCCCCCACGCCCCCAGACCCGCCCGCCAGGCCCTGACCGCGCCAGCAGCCCGGCGAGCAGCGCGATGAGGACGATGCCGAGGAGCGCGGCGGGCAGCGGCGGCGGCATGGCGGGCACGGCCCCGCTGCGGCCCCCGGCCCCGCTGAGACCCCCTCCCTCCCGCCCGCCCCTGCCCCGGCCCCGGCGCCGCCGCCGCCGCCGCCCGTGGGGCCGCCCGCGCACCCCGAGTGGCCGCTGGGAGGGGCGGGACGGGGCGGGGCCGAGCGGCGCCTGCCCGGGGACAGCGGCCGCCACAGCGCCCCGACGGGGCCGCGCCAGCGGGGGGACAGCGGGGACAGCGGGGCCGCACCGGCATGGGGACAGCGGGGACAGGGACAGAGGGACACTGGGGCTGCACCAGCATGGGGACACCGCGGACGCCGGGGCCGCACCGGCATGGGGACAGTGGGGATACCAGCATGGGGACAGCTGACCCGGGGATGACCATGGAGACCCGGGATGGGGGGACAGAGGAACACCGGCACGGCACCGGAATGGAGACAGTGGGGACATTGGGATGGAGACAACAGTGACACCAGGGCAGCACTGGCAAGGGGACAGCAGGGACACTGGGATGGGGACAGCGGGGCAGCACCAGAATGGGGAGAGGACACCGGGTCTGGCACTGGGATGGAGTGAGGGGGATGACAGCAGGTCCAGCACTGAAATGGAGTGAGGAGCAGGGGGGGTGACACCAGGGGCACTGGGATGAGGCAAATGGGTGACACCAGGGGCAGCACCAGGATGGTGCAAGTGCAGATGAGACCAGGTCTGGCCCCCGGTGCCAGATGTCCCCTGCATCCCCCACACAAACAGTCACACTACAGGGCAGAGTTCAGCACTTTTATGGCCCCAGGTCCTCGCAGGGCACGAGGAACAGTTTGGAGTACAGCAAGGGGTACAGCTCCTAGGGACAGCAGTTCTTTAAGGGGCGGGTCCTTGGACAGAGCAGGCTGCAAAGGGAGAGGGTGTGAGTTTGTGAATTTGTTTTGGGTCACATCTGGATGTTTGGCTTGGCTTTGTGCTAATTTGGGATGTTCGGACCTGCTTTGTGCTGATCTAGGATGTCAGGCTCTGTTGTGGTCAGGTCTGGACATTGGGATCTGCTTTGTAGTGGTTTTAGGGTGTTGGAAGCTGTTTTCAGTCAGGTCTGGACATTGGGACCTATTTAGTGTCAGATTTGGGACAATGGAAACTACTCAACATTGAATTCAGGACATTGGGATCTGCTTTGTGCTGGGGCCCTGCTGTCAGTGGTGTGTGTCAGTTCCAGGGTGGGGACAGGAGCCATCCCCTGGGCTCAGCAGTCCCAAACACAGCAGAACGCCAGAAGCTCGGCGTCGGTCTGTCTGTCCCTCACAACTCGGCGTGGTACTGCTCCATTTGGAGGGCCTCGCTGGGCTGCATGAAGATGCCCTCCATCACCTTCCAGTAGTTATTCTGGCTGGAGGTGGCCATGCCGTGCACCTCCTTCTGCCCGTGGATGGGCCGCCCGTACTGCTCCCCGGTCACCGAGAGGAAGACGTCGGTGGAGGTGTGCTGGAATCGCACCTCGTCGTCCCGCACCCAGTAGGTCCCACTGCACACCACTGTCCAGTCATCCAGGTAGTCACCCTCGCCGGCCTCCCCGAATGCACTCACCTCCTGGGGGTGAAGAAGAGCTCGTTTGGGGGCCAGGATGTAAAAAAGGGGAGTACTGAGGTGGGCAGAGAAAGGGGCTGGGCCTAGGAGGGACCCGGTTGTGACTGGGGCTCTGTTGGGACTTGCAGGGTCTGGTTGGCATTCAGGCACTGGCAGGGTATTTGGGAGTTGCTAGGGAGTGGGGAACAAGGTGGGACTGGCAGGGACCCAGCTGGGATCAGGGAACAAGGTAAAACTGGCAGGGACCCAGCATGAGGAGAAACCCAGTCTGAACTGGAGAACAAGGTGGGACCGGTGGGGACATGGGGGACACTGCTGGGGCCAGGAATTAGGAAATGCTAGTAGACATATGGTGGATCTGGTCGGGACAACCAGGAGACTGACTGGGGAATAAGGTGGGGCTGGCAGTAACATGGGGGACAAGGGGAACTCAGGCGGGATGGGTAGCGACAGACACAACACAGCACGGACTCAGGAGACCCGCCAAGACCCGAGTGACAAGGCAGGCCCCGTTATGCCCAGGGAAAGATACGGAGCCCGGGGCGCAGGGCTGGTAATGCCCGGGCGGTACCTGGTTCCCGGAGAGCGGCGAGGTGAAGCGGTGGCTGTGCAGGTTGCGGCCGGTGCCCAGGTGCGTGAGGCGGATGGCCTGCCCGCAGCGCACCGGCGTGCCCCGCTGGCACACGGCGGCCGTGCGGCCCCGCACCCGCCAGTAGCTGTTCCCGTCATCCGCCGCCGACACCCCGGTCACCGACTGCTGCCCACTGCCTGCGGAGGAGGGAGAGCCACCATCACACCCAGCTCAGCCCAACAAGGGAGCCG